CAAACAATGAATCGTGGAACACTACATCAAAAACTAATGATGTAATGTATGGTGACTAACATAATAAAATCAAATTAAAAAAAAGAAAAATAAGAATGAAGAATAAGTATTTCTTGAGACAACTGCTAACTCCATTTTAAAGATGAGCTTTCATCTGATTAATTATATAAGAAAACGGAAGACAACAGACTCACTTAACTCGAATTTTGTTTAAATACTTGGACTGGCATAAGATTTAATAAGGCCCCTTTTGGAGGTGTATTTAAAATTATAATTTTTGTTAAAAGAACATTTGTTGAGGTCCAATAAATCTGTTGCATACGAAAAAAAAAAAAAAAAGAAGAGGCTCAAGGCCATGGACTTGATTTGGCCAGGCCACTGGAGAGAGGCAGGACCCAGGTCCGAGACCTGCCCAAGGTCAGAGGTACAAGTCCTGTGCCAAGACAGCTCCAAAGGCTGAAGACATCTGACCCTCGGCCACCTCAGTTCGGATCAACATTTGGGATCGAAGGCCTAGGACAAAGCGGTGACCGCCATCTGGTGTTCTGTGCTCTGGTTCTCCCGGAAGGAAACTTGCCCACCCACGCCTGCCCTGAGTGTCAGTCACAGTACTTCAGTGACGAAGGTCCCGACATCCCCACCACGCTGGACCTCCTGCTCCCTCACAGGCACCTCCTTTTGCAGAACTAGGCCCTGTCACAGCCCCTCTACCATAGCAGTAAGGTGGGAACCCTGGGTGGGCTCCAGGAATGCCAGGAGGGGTGGATAAGATCCTTGGGCTCCATTCTGAATTCCAGCGGCTCCCATGCTGAGGTTCCCACTCTGTAAGTAAGTGACTCTATAACTCGACAGGTCCCCCACACCGACCCTGAATTGGCTCTGTTCTGCAGCTCCAGGGTCAGCCCCTGCCTACACACACATCCATCTGATTTCTCTTAGCTGGCTCATTTGGCTCGCACCCCAACACACGGTCACAGCCTTCAGAAACTGCAGAGCTGGACAATACAGCGGCTGGCACTTCGACACATTACTAAAAGCCCAGCTAACAGGACCAAAGCACTTTCTTGAAGAAAATCATTTTATCTATATTTAAGCCCAATATATCCTTGGATAACGCAACTGACGGAAGTGCAAACCCAGCTCAAGGACAGCAGATGAAGTGACAGCATCTGAAGATAAAAGAAAGCAGGTCAGCTTGATGCACCACCCCTATCAGAACATCCTGGCAAGAGGCAAGGCGATTCCAGCTCAGAAGCACAGAGAAGGGAAGAGGTAATTCAACTGTGGTATCACCATGTCTCCCAGAAGATAATAACAGTAATAATAATAATAATAATGGGCGCCTGGGTGGCTCAGATGGTTAAGCGTCTGCCTTCGGCTCAGGTCATGATCCCAGGGTCCTGGGATCGAGTCCCGCATCGGGCTCCCTGCTCCTTGGGAGCCTGCTTCTCCCTCTGCCTCTCTCTCTCTCTCTCTGTCTCTCATGAATAAATAAATAAAATCTTTAAAAAAAAATATAATGATAATGATGATGATGATGATGATAGCCACCTTGCAGATATTCACTCATCAAACCCGAGGTGCCTACCTACTAGGCGCCAGGCACTTTCACACTTGCTCCGCACGCACCAGAACCCTGCCACGTCTCATCCTGCTTGCTTAGAGGAGAAAACCAGCCCCTGCCTCTCTTTAGACGTATTTGCCAGACCAGCTATTGCTATCTGAACACGGAAGAAGATCACACTGCTTGTGTGATGTCAGGTCAGGACAGCTCCTCTACCAGCCGGAGGCAGCCAGCTCCAACCCAAGCGCCAGCAAGCTGCTGTCCTAGGGACCGGCCACAGGAACCGGCCTGCCAAGCCTCGCCGGCAGTGTGAATTTGCCCGGGTGACTGCCTATCCTTGACCTCAACTGTGAAGTGAGGACTTCTGGGCTCCCTTCCTGCGTAGGAGGAAGGGTTGTGGCAACTGGAAACAAGAGACAGAGGATCGAGGGGCCCAGCCAACTTTATCTGCAGTTTTCACTATGCTGAGAGAACACGGCCGAAAGGGGGAATTTTGTTTTAAGACAAGGAGCCTCGTCAAGAGATCAGGAGGCACCAGTAGGCTCTCGGAGCTTCCCCAGAGGACACTGCAAGGGACGCTTCTCTGTGCCTTCTGCTCTGTGGCTCGAGAGAAGCAAGAAGCCTCCAACCAGGCCCCATTCTACTGCGCAACGCCCCACTCCCCTGCTTCTGACCGCCTAGGGATGCTGGCCTACAGGCAGGAGCAGGGGAGCCGGTCAGAAAGTAACTAAAAGCTTTGAGCAAATGAAAAAGTGCTCAACATCCCTCCTCATCAGCAAAATGCAAATTGAAACCACAATGAGGTAGCACACCTCACACCTGTCAGAAGGGCCACTACTAAAAAGACAAGAGGGGCACCTGGGTGGCTCAGTCCGTTAAGCACCTGACTCTTAGTTTCGGCTCAGGTCATGATCTCAGGGTCGTGGGATGGAGCCCCATGTTGGGCTCCGTGCTCAGTGGGGAGTCTGCTTGGGATTCTCCTCCTCTGCCCCCACCCCACTCATGCACTTGCTCTAATAAATAAATCTTAAAAAAAAAAAAAGATGGGAAATAACAGGTGTTGGCGAGGATATGGAGAAAAGGGGACCCTCGTGCACTGTTGGTGGGAAGGTAAATTGGTGCAGCTACTGTAGAAAACAGTATGGAGTTTCCTCAAAAAATTAAAACTAGAACTACCCTATGATCCGGTAATCCACTACTAGGTCTTTACCCAAAGAAAACAAAAACACTAATTCAAAAAGAGATGCACCCCTATGTTTATTGAGCATTATTTACAGTAGCCAAAGTATGTATGTATGGGAAGCAACCCAAGTGCGCATCCACCCACAGATGAATGGATAAAGTGCATGTGCATAAATGCACAATGGAATATCACTCAGGCATAAAGAAGAATGAGATCTCACCATCTGCGACAACATGGATGGACCTAGAGGGTATTATCTAAGTAAAATAAGTCAGACAAAGGCAAATACCATATGATTTCACTCATATGTGGAATCTGAAAGACGAACAAAAAACAGAGAACAAACTGATGGCTGTCAGAGGGGAGGCAGGTGGGAGGGATGGCTGAAATATATAAGGGCCATTAGGAGGTACAAACTTACAGTTATAAGATAAATAAATAAGTCATGGGTATGAAAAGTACAGCATAGGGAATATAGTCAATAATATTGTAAAAATGTTTGGTGACAGATGGTGGCTACACTTACGATGAGCACTGGGTGAGGTAGAGAATTGCTGAATACACTGTGCACCTGAAGCTAATATAACACTGCATGTTAATTATACTTCAATTAAAAAAAAAGACTTTCAGGACAAGTTACGGTCTTAAAACAAAACATTAGGCATAAATGTGAGGTACTTCAAAAGCAGGCTCACTGACCAGCTAAAAAGGGAATGAATTTGTGCTTTTCCTTTTCTTTTTTAAGCCCAAATTGATACGGAATGAAAATGGGGAGGTGGTTTGGGGGGCAAATAGGGGAATTTAGCTTCAGATACCCTGAAGTTCATTTTCTTTTTTTGTAAGTGACTTTGTTTATTTATCTAATTATTTTAAGTAAACTACCTTCAAAATGGGGCTTGAACTCACGATCCCAATATTAGGAGTCACACACTCCACCAACTGTGGGGCCAGGCGCCCCAGATACACTGAATTTCAGGTGACGGCAGATAATGTAAATTGTAAAACTGTCCAGCTGGATGAACACCAATTAAAGACAGAAAATAAATTATACAGCATCAAATCTACTTTCTCTTTTTTTGTTGTTAACTTGGTGATCCTTCTGTTGATATCCCTTCTTTATTCTGCCCCCAGAGCAACGTGACAAAAATATCAAGGAAGGGGCGCCTGGGTGGCTCAGTCGTTAAGCGTCTGCCTTTGGCTCAGGTCATGATCCCAGGGTCCTGGGATCGAGCCCCGCATCGGTCTCCCTGCTTGGCGGGAAGCCTGCTTCTCCCTCTCCCACTCCCCCTGCTCGTGTTCCCTCTCTCGCTCTCTCTGTCAAATAAATAAATAAAATCTTTAAAAAAAAAATATCAAGGAAGACAGCAGAATAATACAAGTACCTGGGAAAAAATGTATTTCAACAAATTCTCCAAAATCTCTTAATCAAATTTGATTTCCAGGAATAATAACATCAAAACCAGACTAGATATAATACCCAGTGCTGGGAGGAGTATAATACTCCGGCATTCTCATGCACGCTGGATAAACGGACTCTTCAGGGAGCAACTGGGTCACATCCATCACATGCCATGAATAAACAGTTACTATCTCGGCCTACAGTGTTCCTTCCAGGAATCGATCCTAAGGAAATACCCAAAAGAAAGCAATAGGTATGTGATGAATGAATGGGAGTATTTGTTGTATAAAGATGCTCATTACCTAGAACAGGAAAAAACTGGAAGCCACTGACAAATGCAACCATGAGGGGAGAGATTAAGGACATTATAGGCCCTCAGTGGAACAGTTACACAGGCATTAAAATACTAGTTACAAAGACAACGTGGTAACAGGGAAATCTTTTTTTTTCCCATTTGCCGTAATTTTAAATGAAAAAAAAAAAAAAAGCGGGGTGTGTGATCATACCAACCAACGTCATGATTATAAGAGTAACATTTGTGTTAAAGTGGCAGGATTTGGGTACATCCTTTCCCCTCCACTTTGAAACCTATCGTACTGATTTTTTTTCGAAGATTTTATTTGAAAGAGAGAGAGAGTGAGCGGGAGGGAGAGGGCCAGAGAATCTGAAGCAGACTCTGCACCGAGCGCAGAGCCTGACGCGGGGCTCGATCCCAGGACCCTGAGATCGTGACCTGAGCTGAAACCAAGAGTCAGACGCTTAACGGACTGAGCCACCTGGGCGCCCCTGTATCATACGGCTCTTGATGAGAAGGCGGTGACTGGGAATGTTAACCTCAGCCTCTGGGGTGGTACCTTGGCTCCATCCACGCTGATGATGCGATAGCTATTCCTGGTGACATCGTAGAAGTAGGAAACGGTGACTGCCTGCTTGCTCGCAGGGACCCAGTTCTTCTTGGTGCTGGGGTCGATCTGGAAGACATGTGCCCGCGTAGTGAAGATGGGCTGTTCTCTGCGGGAGGAGAGAAGGGTGCATGAGCCGACAGAACAGGACTTCATGTATCATTTATGACTTCTCGCCCCACCCCCTGCTGTCCCCAAAGATCTTAATAGCTTATTGGGAGAGATACATATGCATGAGGACAATTAAAATAAGAAAAAGGGAAAGAAGAGACTCCAGCACAGGAGTTACGGACACCCAATCCACCCGGGCTACGGGCAACTGGCATAATGAGCGATTTGCTCTAAATGCTGCCCTTCGTCCAGTGTCCTCGCGTCCTGTCGAGCATCCTGGTCCTGTTCTGACATCCTGCTGGCATTCTCGGGATTTTGCGATGCATTTATTTTGGAGGATTCTGCCACAATTTTAGGATTTTGCAATCCATTTGCAACTTCATAATTATATGTCTAGTAAGTACTTCTCAAATTCACAGCATTTTACCCAGGACGCATTCGTTTGTCATTGACCGAGCCTTAAAGTTTTATGTTTCCAACTTATAAACCTTTTGAGGTTTAGGAGTTTAATTCGGGAAATCCATCTCTTTTAGCTATTCTTGCCTCTGTATGGTTGTTGCTCTTTTGCTCCACACGCCTGTAAATTTCTTAATGTGATTGTGAACCAAATGGGCACACTAACCAGGTTTCTTCTGGAAAGCGGAGAATTATTTCTATCTTGACAATAAGCATCAAGAAATAAGGCAGATGGATAAAAAACTGAAACAGATTACAGTGCATTTCACACTCTAAGGTATCTACCTCACAAAGGAACATAAGATGAAACACAAAACTGTTACAAAATAGACTTAATTTTAAAGAAAGGGTCTTCAGGCAAACTGGCTCAAAAATCCTTCAACTGTTCCAAATATGATAACATGGTGGGGGGGAAGCCCCCAGGATGTAAAAGTGGCCCCATCGTTCACGAAATGCTACAGATTTAATAAGCATTTATTAGAGATAAAAACAAAACCAAAAGGTAACTCAGACAAATTAAAAGTTTTAAAATCCTTACGATGTCAAAAGGGGTGACATAAAAGAAGAGGACACCCATGTGGATAGGAAAAAAAAAAAATCAAAGGGAGAAAGTGAATTTTAAGTGTTCTGGTCTCTAGATGGAGTGGTTTTAGGCAAAGCAGTCTTTGAACCCGTTCTGCCTAGAGAAGGCTCATTACTGGAAAGAAAACTCTTTCTTAGGAGAGAAACTTCTTCCTAGAAAAGCAATTTACTATTTGAGCCTCATGCAAAGAATACTGAGTATCGCAATGAATATCAGCATCAAGCATCAATTGTGGCTGCAGACAAGTGCAGAAACCCTTTCATAACTACTCTTCCAGGAGACGAAAAGCCAAGGGCATGCTATTCGCGCTAACCCAATGAAGCAGGTTCAAGAGGCCAGCCTTCCAGAAGAACCAACAGAAGCATTCCTTGCCCCCGCTCCCCCCCACCCCCGAAACTTCCCTCCTAGGTCCCAGAACAGGACAAGGGCCTCTGGGGATGTGGATTACTAGGACGACTGTCTTCCCTTGAACGTGATTAGGTTCACCCACCCGCCCGATCCTAAACTGACACCCTTCCAGCCACAGGGTGACAGGGTGTAGAAACAAAAGGGACATTCTTTTTTTTTTTTTTTTAAGACTTTATTCATTTATTTGAGTGAGAGAATGAGATAGAGAGAGAGAGAGCATGAGACGGGGGAGGGTCAGAGGGAGAAGCAGACTCCCCGCCGAGCAGGGAGCCCGATGCGGGACTCGATCCCGGGACTCCAGGATCGTGACCTGAGCCGAAGGCAGTCGCTCAACCAACTGAGCCACCCAGGCGCCCAACAAAAGGGACATTCTCACTGCGATTTCCAGCATCTGCTGTCACCAGGGGCCAGCCTGTGGGGGAGCGTGTGTGCACGTGACTGCAAGCTCTCCTAATCAAATCCACGTGGGGACGTCTGGCATCTGGATCCCCCAGCTGTGCTACCACGGGCCCAGGCATCACAGTTTGCTAATCATCTAAGTACAGCACCATAAAGGAAAACACTTGCTCACATGGAAGTCTCCTGCTGATGCAAGAGAAGGCACTGATTGAAAGGACAGTAACTACAGAAAAGATTTTGAGAGAAATTCTGCAATGTATACAAATATCGAATCATGCTGTGTACCTAAAACTAACATGATGTTATATGCCAATTATACCTCGATAAAAAAAAATAATAATTGCATTGTGCTGAAGTCTCTCTGCCTCTCTCCTACAGAGCACTAACAGGTGGGGCCCACGGGTCAGGCAGGAGCCCTCGCTGGGGAAGGGGCCTGGCTTTCACACCTGCCCTCACGTCCCCCACACTGAGCAAGAGGGATTGGGCCTGGGGTTTAGTGCCCTTAGACCAGTGTTTCCTAAACCTCTGATGGAAATTAGCTGGGGCACTTCATAAAAATACAAGTTTCTGGGCCCCAACCTACTCCCCCCACCTAGGAACTTGGCTCTCCACGGAGGGGCCTGGGGACCTCCGTTTTTAACAAAAGCTCCAGGTGATTTTGATCCTCAAAGAAGCTGGGGAGATACCCCCATGAGACATTATCAGATGATCTGGAAAAAAGATGGAAGAAGTGAGCCTATAGCCAGCATCTCTCCTCCAGAAAGACACAGCTAACTTTGAATGACTCCAGAACTTCCTCCCACAGCCTGAAGGGGACTACGGTGAAACCAAGAACAGGGTTTGGGGGTGCAAAGAGTGGGGAGGCGAAGTGCTCTGGGTAGAGACTGGGGGCGGGAAGCCTGTGTGGCCAAGCACAGACTTCAAGCACTCTGTGTCCCTGAGCCTTGCAGGAGAGAGGAAGTGAGGGAAGCGGAGGGACCAGAGATAGGGCAGGAAGGACAGGGAGACGAGAGACGGTAGAGCTTCCTGACCAGGGATAAGCAAAGGCCAAGAGTCATCTGCGTGGCATGACTCAGGTCAAGGTGAACATAGAGACATGAGGACACTCCATCTCCAAATCTGCCTGCTCGGCTCTGGGGATGGACCAAAGCTACGTGGATCACCCTGGGGACCCCAGCCCGAATGCAAGGATGTCCTTAGAGCACCGTGAGCCCAGCTGGCCACACCTCAGGGGCTGCAGCCCGGGTCGCCAGGGTCAGGCCCCGTTACCCCTTCTGAGGACGAGTACCAACGGAGACCAAAGACCCGCATTCCTCAGTCCTGGGCAAGCCAGGGCCAGTTCGATTACAGCTTTGTGCCCAGGAAACTGCTCATAATACTGAGATTTCCACATGAATAACCACATCTGAGGCCAGTGGGGCGTTCTAATTAATTCTTCTAAAATTAAAAAATCTAATGGTATTTAAAGAAAAGGGGGGGAAAATGATTAAAAAAAAAAGGGCAGTAGTTAATATTTACTGACTACTTACCATCTGCCAGGTTTTACACATGACCTCTCCTTTAGGATCAGAAAGATCCTTTGGGGGAGGTGTACAGGTGGGGAAATGGGGGCTCAGAGAGGCCAAGGACCTGCCTTGGGTTACATAGTAAGTGGCAGATCCGGGATGTGAAAGCAGTTCCAAGTGACATGGTCACCCTCCCTCTTAATCATTATGCTACACTCTCTTTCTGAAATAATAGCTATAAGAGGCAGCTTTTGATGTTGTTCCCAATGACCCCCACCTCCTGGTAATTATGCCCTTTGCATGCAATCCTCTCCCCTTGAGCATGGTGGTGGTGGTGGAGGGACCTGTGACTTGCTTTAACCAAAAGAACATGGCAAAGGTGATGGGATGTCATTGTGCAAGTAAGTTACACAGGACTGTAATGTCTGCCTTGCTAGCAGATTCTCTGGACTCTCTTGATGGCTTTGATGGGGCATGTTGCCATGCTGGGGAGACCCACACTTGCAGGAACTGAGAGTGGCCTCTAGCCAAGAGCCAGAGGGATACTGAGGCCCTCCGCTCAACACCCCCTGGGGAACTGAAATTCTCCCAACAACCACTTGGAAACTTGGGGGTCAGATCTCTCCACGGTTGAGACCTCAGATGAGATCCCAGCCCTCGTTGACACCTTAATGATGCCTCATAAGAGACCCAGAAGCAGAGGATCCAGCTAAGCCATGCCCAGACTCTTGATCCAGAGAAAGTGTTTTGTTTTAAGCTGTTAAGTTTGTGGCGATTTATTACCCAGCAAAAGAGAACTAATACCTTGACCTTCATAGAAAGTTTACTATACCACAAATCCTTACATCGTGATGAACAAAATCAGAGAAGTCTATAAACCTCACACAAAATTCAGAAATGCAGACCCCAGCTCTGAGAGATCATCTTGCCTCACCTGAAAAAGGAAAAACGCTGGAACTAGGACACAGGAGTCAGTTCCTGTAAGTGTACAAATCAGTATAAATAGAAAAATTCAAGAGAAGCAGAACTTTCCAACCCAGGAGGCCGCCTTTCCCTCCCAGCAGGGAAAAGCTGAAGAGAGTGTGTATCAGAGAACAGAAACTACCTTCATACCCAATTTTATTCTCCTTTCTTTGGTGTTCGATGCTTAGGGAGTGTATTTCAAAAATACTCCCATTCCTTCTCCAGTGCTTTAAATAGAAAGCAGATGTTTCCAGATGGCAAAACGTTTCTTTAGGCAGACAATATAGCCTACTGTTCCCTCGCATAGTCTTTTTAGAGCTGAATAAACACCAATTGCTGCTCATTGAACACATTTTGGAACCTGACAGTAATTGTCCCCGAGAATAATTAGACACTCTGTGCAACATATGTATGTTTGGAATATGAAACCCACTCAGCAGAGACACTACTCCGGCTCGGAACAATTTCTGGCTCCGTGTAAGAGAATTCTGCAAAGAACTAGCATGATAACTTTTTGCAAGGAAAAAAAGAAAAATGATGTTTTAATTTATCATAATCCTTCACTTGCAACGGCAATGCTCAGCTCCAGGCTTGTTCTGCTATGAATCTGGTGAAACCTCACAATTCTTATTATTCCGACTTCTGTTTGACTTGAATGAAAACAAACCATCCAGACATTATTTT